GGAATTCCGGATTAAAAACGGGAATTCTGGGGGGAAAAACGGGAATTCCGGATTAAAAACGGGAATTCTGGGGGAAAAACGGGAATTCCGGATTAAAAATGGGAATTCTGGGGGGAAAAACGGGAATTCCGGGGTTAAAAATGGGAATTCCAGATTAAAAACAGGAATTCTGGAGGGAAAAACAGGAAATCAGGGGGGAAAAATGGGAATTCTGGGGGAAAAACGGGAATTCCGGATTAAAAATGGGAATTCCGGGGGAAAAACGGGAATTCCAGGGGAAAAATGGGAATTCAGGGGGAAAAATGGGAATTCCGGGGAGAAAATGGGAATTCCAGGGGAAAAATGGGAATTCCGGGGAGAAAATGGGAATTCCAGGGGAAAAACGGGAATTCAGGGGGAAAAATGGGAATTCCGGGGAGAAAATGGGAATTCAGGGGGAAAAATGGGAATTCAGGGGGAAAAACGGGAATTCCGGGGGGAAAAACGGGAATTCCAGATTAAAAACGGGAATTATGGGATAAAAAGCGGGAATTATGGGGTTAAAAATGGGAATTGCGGGGTTGAAAACGGGAATTCCAGGTTAAAAATGGGAATTGTGCGGGGACAACGGGAATTCTGAGGTTAAAAATGGGAATTCTGAGGGGAAAAATGGGAATTCTGAGGGGAAAAATGGGAATTCTGAGGGGAAAAATGGGAATTTTGGGGGAGAAAAGTGGGAATTTGGGGGACAAAAGTGGAAATTTGGGGAGAAAAGTGGGAATTTTGGGGGGAAAAGTGGGAATTCGGGGGAGAAAAGTGGGAATTTTGGGGGGGAAAAGTGGGAATTTGGGGAGAAAAGTGGGAATTTGGGGACAAAAGTGGAAATTTGGGGGGAAAAGTGGGAATTTTGGGGAGAAAAGTGGGAATTTGGGGGAGAAAAGTGGGAATTTGGGGAGAAAAGTGGGAATTTGGGGACAAAAGTGGAAATTTGGGGGGAAAAGTGGGAATTTTGGGGAGAAAAGTGGGAATTTGGGGGAGAAAAGTGGGAATTTGGGGAGAAAAGTGGGAATTTTGGGGGAAAAAGTGGGAATTTGGGGTTTTCCCGGTCCGGGGCGGCACCTCCAGGGCGGCTTTTCCCGAAGAAACGGCCTGGAAGAGGGAATCCTGCTCGTTCCCGTCGCCGCTGGAAAGGCGGGAGCGCTTCGGGAGCTGCGGGAAAAACGGGAAAATGGGGAGGAGAGGGCGGGAATCCCAAAAAAAAAGCGGGATCTGGGGGGAAAAGCGGGAATTACGCGGCTCCGGGGGGGGCCCGGGGGGGGACCCCGCTTGGGGCGGGGGCGCAGGGAGGGCTCGAAGTCGCTGCCGGAGTCGGAATCGCCCGGGAATTCCCTGCGGGAAAAACGGGAATTCTGGGGAGAGCCGGGGTGGGCTGGGGTGGGGGAAACGGGGGAAAAATCGGG